ATGAAAAATTTGTAAAATTGATTTGGTATATTTATAGTAGATTTACAAGTGGAAATTTTTATTGGATAATTGATTTTTTGGTTTTTTAGCATTATTCCTGTATGTTTAACAAATCATCACGTTTAATTTGCGTCTTATAGTAATGCGTAAATAATAATAATTGTAAGTAACAATAGATCGTGATAATCAATAATAATATTTCACAAAATATTCAGAAATAGTGTGAGTATTTTTCATTTGGATGCATTATAATAAGTTTCAGATTTAATTTCATTTGAAATTAAATGGTTACATTCCTGCAAAAATTATTTAGACATGTAACATTTCATGACATATGAAAATTAGTGAGCACTGAAATATATTTTGAATAAATCCGCTTTTTATGATTATAAATAATGAGTAAGAAATAACGATAGGGAAAATGATTAAAATTATTAAAATGCGGATGATTGAGACCTGCAGTTGATTTTCACATGTAGTGAGAGCATAAGATAACAATTTTTGTTCTGGTGATACATGTGATGGGGCTTCAGTGCCCTAGGGAGAATTTCCCCGCCCCAAAAACAGTCGGAGCATCTGCAGGCGACTTGCCCCAGTGCGTCGAGACCCTCGAGGGTGCACAAGACTCATAGAGACCACCCGAGGTGGAAACAGTTTGTACCCTGGACTCATAAAAAATGTGGCAAAAGACGGAATTACTTTTTCACTGATTTTTTTTTACCTTCATTGTTACAATTAAGACAGCCGCAATTGCTGGAGACTGATTAAAACGCCTGGGTTTACCATTAAATTACAGGGGTTTCTTTTCTCCCAGGGTACAGTGAGAAATTCATAAATTTAATTGGAGAATAATGCAACAGACGTCTTAATTATTTCCCTCTGTGTGGAACTTAAGAATCCATCGACAGAACGTGAATTTTGCGATACGAGATAGGCGAATACATTAATTGGCTGATTAATTAGCGGATTGATTAATTTATGCTGGAAATTTATTGAGAGGAAAATGGAGATATGGGAACAGATGAAGTGATTCACCTCATGATACATCCCCCAGATGGAAAATCGATTTTACACATGGCATCACTCAGCACCTCCTTTACTCCCCTACCTCAGCATTGGCCCGATTGCTCAGCCCTATTTCCCTATTGTTTCACTCCTTCTTATTATTCCCATCACAAAACATTCCCCGTAAACCGTAACATACTGCACCCTCACTTGGAGCTACTCTTGCTGCATTTCCCTCCGTTCCAACCCTTCCGGGTAGACCTTACACCGTGTGTAGAAACCTATATGCCTAATAATAAGAGGAGCTAGTGCCTTGTGCTGTGTGCCATTAACTACCCGCGTAACGAGCACCGATTACTTGAGGCTTTGCCCGCACTCTCAAAACCAGAGCATCGAAGGGGAAAATTCCAAACTCCTTTGTTGAGAAATTAATTTCATTTTGGGATAGAGGACAAAGCTATTTCCTACCGCCAAACACCCCAAGAGAGAACTATAACTTCCATCAATTAGTTCATTAGGAAATTTAAAAATAAATACATTTCTGCTTCAATGTAGCAAGACTTAAGTATAATTAGTAGAAAAGTATTTTTTCGACGTTCAATATATGGCATTTGAATTATCTATATAGATACACTGAGCAAAAAAATTACTTTTCCCAAGAATATTTTCTTTCCACCAGTAAATCTGGCGATCACTGTATAAATACTTCCATAAGACTTGCTAATGCCAGATATATTTTCCTGTGGTTAGTAAATATTCTTGACTGAAGATAATTTTTTTCGCAGTGTACAGAAATCATTGGTGCAATAATACGAACATTATTAGAGTATTTCCGATAAATTCTTACAATTTTTCGAAAGCTTCAAAATCATAACGGAAAAATACTACTTATACGAAATTACCCGAAATTTTGGCATATAATTAAAGACTCATTTTCCCGGTTGGTATGTCCTCGTTGTTCATCATTTCCAACGCACCCAATTTTTGGGAAATTGTAAATCGGGTGGAACTTGAGACACCATTAATTTCAGGATTTTTTTTAAATTCTCCATGTAATGCGA